GTGATTGTCAAAGAATTTGACCACCTGTGCGCTGGATATTGATCGATAGGACTCGGCCTCGACCCACTTGGTGAAATAGTCGGTCGCAACCAAAATCCAAGCGTGTTGGTTGAATGCGGCCGGATGGACATTGCCGATGATATCCACGGCCCACCCTCTGAAAGGCCACGGTTTGGTAACCGGGTGAAAGGCTTCGGCCGGTACCCTTTGTATGGGGCCGTAGATTTGACACTTGATGCATCCCTTTGCATACTCTATGCAATCTTTCAAAATGGTCGGCCAGTAATAGCCGTGTCTCCTAACCAACCACCTCATCTTGACCCCAGACTGGTGAGCACCACAAATCCCCTCGTGAGATTCACTCATGATGACCTTGATGTCCACGAGGCTGGGACATAGTAGTAATAAACTGTCTGATCCCTTTCGGTACAGCTCATTCTGATAAATTAAATAACACCGAGCTTGGAACCGTGTAGTCCTTTCATGGCTGCCAGAAGGGTTATGCCGATACCTCACTATGGGGTAGAGCCAGTCGGCTTCGGCCGTGTCGATCTCGTCGGTGATATCGGCCGAAAACACTTGCGTTGTCATTCCTCGTTCGGCCAAGGCTGGCAAGGTACGCCTCTCGATTCTTATCATGCGATCATGGCCGGTGCTCGGGATGTTCACGCCAGAAGCTACCTGGGCCATCTCATTGGCCTCGCCGTTTTCGGTGCGCGGTATATGAACAAAGGAGATTCTAGAAAAACAATCGGCCGTGTTGAGGGCCGTCACATAATACACGGCCAAATTCTCGCTCGTGCATTGGTATTCCCCAGTTAACTGGTTAATCACCAGCTGAGAGTCGCCGTAGACCAAAACACGGGTTGCCTTCATTTCTTTCAAAATCTCGAGACCAATGATGAGCGCTTCGTACTCAGCCTGATTATTAGTGCATTTGAAATCGAGTTGGAAAGCGAACTGCCACTTCTGCCCTTGGGGAGATTCAATTACAACTCCAGCTCCTGACCTGGCCTCGGTGCTGGAGCCGTCAAAGTACATGGTCCAAAAATTCTTTTCCATGCGGGCCATACCGATCTCGACCTCCAACTCCTCCTCTTGTCCCTGGGCCGGGTGATGAGCCAGAAAATCGGCCAAAGCCTGACCCTTGACCAATTTCTGAGCCACGTATTGAAAGGTAAATTCGGACAATGCCATCGTCCACTTCCCAATTCGGCCGCGTATGATCAGCCGGGTAAGCATATATTTGATGAGATCGGTCTTAGAGATGATTTGAACAACCGAAGGAAGCATATAACGCCGCAACTTGGTGGCCGCGAAATAAAGGGCTAGGCATAATTTTTTGATCGGCGAATAATTCAATTCGGCCGTGTTGAGGGTGCGGCTTAGATAGTGTACTGCTTATTCGCGCCCAGACTCGTTGTTCTGAGCCAGTAGACAGCCGATAGAGCCCTCTGAAACCGAAATGTAAAGCCTCAATGGTTTTCCCCTTTTCGGCGGCGTATTTCAGTTTGAGCAAGGGAGACAACGGCCGCCTGATGTTCGGCCCCCCATACGAACCGTTCCGTGTCTTTGAGTTTGAGCAAGGGAGACAACGGCCGAATTTTTCCCGCCATATTGGATATGAAACGCCGTAAAAAGTTCACCTTACCGAGGAAGGACTGGAGCTCCTTCTTAGTCCTCAGCGGAGGGGCCGCCATAATGGCCGTAGCCTTATTTTTATCCACCTCGATTCCTCGTTGGTGAACCGAGAAACCGAGAAAATTCCCGGCGGTGACTCCAAAAACGCATTTCTTCGGGTTCATTTTTAGGCCGTGCGCTTGCATCCGGTCAAAAGCTTGTCGAAGATGTCCTACGTGGTCTGCTCTGGACAGGGACATTACAACCACATCGTCGATGTAGACTTCAACGGTTCGACCTATAGGGTCGTGAAAAATAAGGTTCATGGCTCTTTGGTATGTCGCGCAGGCATTTTTTAGGCCGAACGGCATGACCACCCACTCATAGGTTCCGATTGCTCTTGGACATCTGAACGCCGTTTTGTGAACATCTTCCTCGGCCACAAAAATCTGGTTGTAACCCGCATGGCCGTCCATGAAAGACAGGAGTTCATGCTTTGCGGCTCCGTCCACCAGGAGATCTGACATAGGCATGGGATATTCGTCTTTGGGGGTCGCGAGGTTCAGATTTCGGTAATCGGTGCAAATCCTCAAAGCCCCAGACCTCTTCAATCCCGGTACAATGTTGGCCAGCCATTCAACGTACCGGGCCGTTCGTATGAAGCCGGCTTTAAGGAGCCGTTCAATTTCCTCCTTGACCCTAAGCTGTACCTCGGTCGAGAAACGCCTTGGCGGCTGTTGGAAAGGCCTGAACCCCTCCTTGATTCTTAATTCGTGCTCGACCAAACTTCTTGGCAACACAGGCATCTCATGATAATCCAAAGCAAAACAATCTTTATATTCATGGAGCAAGCCGATAACCTCGGCCGCTAACTTAGGATCCAACAGATGGCTTACAAAAAGAGGCCGTGGTT